GATTGTAGAAAATTCAAAATCAATTTAAACTTTTGCACCGAATTCTTGAACTAGATTGTTTAAGTTATTTCAAACCTTTACTTAAAATTAAATTACCTTACATTTAACTTATTCTCTGTCACTGAAGATAATGCTGTGTCATAGACATACAACATGGAGGGACAAAAAGAGATCCTGCTAATGCTCACCTGCTAACATCCCGACAGAACACGATAGGTACTTTGGCATGGAAGTCTGACTCCACCTCAGAAAACTCGGCTAGGGAGAAAACAATCAATTACTGTTTGTTTTGTTTTTTTAAATGATGGGTTTTAGCCAAATTGAAAACAAAAAATGCAGATGGGGGAGAAAAAAAAAAACCCGAAACAGCGTTCAGCTAATCTGGAGTTATATACAGCCTAATAACAAGCACATCAACTTAAGATAAAATGCAACTGAGAAAACTTACGACTGTTTTTGAGGATTTCCAGCACCTGAATTAAGACTTCAGGTTGTGTCATCTGAACAGACATAAGAAAAGGTCACTGCTGTCATTGTGCTTTTGTGTTAAGAGTAAATGGATTGCAAACTATTAGCAGCAGACTTACTGAGGGAGGGTAGGTGACATCAATGTTGATATCACTTGTCTTGAAGGCAAAACGGGTAAGACACGAACCATAGAGACGGAGCGAACAAGCTGGAAACCAAAGAATCAACGTCAGACAGAATAACTCTCACAGAAAGACTGCCAACTGTCAATAAAGATAAAATCAAGGAATTGACTGGATGCGATCACATCATACAACCTGTGAGGTGTTTCTGTATAATGATCTCCATCCTGCTGACCACTGTCTTTCGAATCTCAAAGTCTTCCTCTGATATCCCTTGCTGCCTGGCAGTTTCTAGGACAGCGGCATTGACAGCCCACAGCTGAGCAGTAGAAGGAGGTGGCAGGGCACGCAGCTCGTTTTCCTCTTGTTTCTCCTAACATGTCACAAGCAGAATGTGTAAACTATTTTAAAATCTTCCTATCAGTCCACTCAGATAAACACTAGCATATCACAAGTACTTACCATTGTGTTTTTTTTGTGTCTCTTTTCCTTGATGTGTTTGTGTGCTCCTTGAATGTTCTCAATGTGCACAGAGCACAGCTTGCATATGTACTGGTAATTTGGGTACTCAGGGGACTGCTGTAAGAACAAAGACATAGGCAATCAATTTATGTTATCTACATGTGGGGGATTTGTTATTTGGATCCTCCAGCTTATAATTAAACAGTGGATCTCACCTTGCCATGCTGGGTGGAGTTTTTTTTTTTTTTTTTTTTTAAAAAGTGCCCAGTACAAAAAAAACAAAAACACACATTCTGAAAATGACTCAAAGTAACAGAAGAATGAAATAGCGAAAATTAGGAAGAACAGATCCTCTGTTATACATCCTGTTTAAAAACTGAATGTTCATATCAAACATTATCAGGGCTTCATAAAAATAAGCTCAGCTTATGTAGAGGAAATTCCCATCAGCCAAAACCTTCCAACTGCTCTAGAATCTGTTTCAGGCAGTCTTTGCTAAGTATGACCTTAGAGACATTTTGGGTTTGTTTTGTTTTTTAAAGAGGAGCAGCCAATTAGATGAACTAAGGGGCTTCACCATGGTCCAAATGGTAGAAAAATACGATAATGTGTCCAGTTTAAACTGAGTTCAATCTTGAGAGTTTACTCAGACTTTTCTGTTAGAATGAGCCTTTTAGTCTTTTTTTCCCCATTTATATGAGACAGAAATGATTAGCCATTAATGATCAGTGCATTAATGTTTAATTAGAACGATCACATTTAGGTTAGCACCAAAAATGAAAATGAGATTTAACACATGATCTGCCTGTGTGCTACTATTTTTTCCCATGTTTAATTTAACTAGACCATTAGATAATTATTATAGTACAGTAGCAATCTGCTTTATAGCTAAATTGTAAGCTGATTTATTCCAATGCAAAGGCAAGACCTTACTGCCAAAATGTCCTCAAGCTTTAGTTAACCCTTTATTATTTACAGAAGAGCCATTCCATTTGGATATTTTCATTTGTGCTGCTGTTTATGAAAATAAGTGTATCATAAAAATACATGTATCTCAAAACTAAAGTTATGAACACATTCAAATTAAGATGTGGCTTTTTAAAATTTTTATACATGTGGAATAAATGCAAATAAAAAAAAATTATTGCACTGTCTAGCAATTTAGCTACTCTGGACCTATTACATACATATTATTAAAATTTGGTATACAAAGGTTATACTGAGTGGTTTTCTCACTTTCAGCAGTCGGTAGATGTAGTCTCTGCGGAGACGCTCCTCTGCCTGTCGGAGGCCCAGCTGTTGCTCTGTGAGAGGTCCTTCCTCCACAGTGGGCCTCACCTCTGGGCCCTCTTGCACAGACTGATGCATCAGTGTTGCGGCTTTCAACACTAAAAAACAGCAAACACAAAGCACTTTACTGGAGCTCTATTTGATGAAGAAGACTTCTTCATTTCAGGAAAAATGCTTTACAACCCACCTTGGGATTTTTCTTTTGCCAGGGCTCTAGTAGAGCTCCTAGCCTGCTCTGTAAGCCCTTTGTCAGGGGTAACAGGCACTACAGAAGAGCTGCTCTCCTTGTTTGCTGAGGGGCTGCTGTCTGCAGAAAGAGATGTTCTGGACTCAGAAGCCTGTGGCACCAGGTGCTGCTGTAAGCTTGCCCCTTTTCCTTTGCCTCTCTCCCCAGAACCCGTTCTTCCAGTCAGCCTACTCAATCTGGATGGCCGACCTCTTCTCTTGTCCTGGGGAGTATCTGTAGAAGTCTTGCCTTGCCCACGACTAACCTGGCTGCCTATATTATGTTCATCCTTGGCAGTCGTGCTGTTTTCTTTGCTGCGGCTTGCAGACTTATGACCCTCTCTCTGCACAAGAGTCTCTTTATTTGATTTCTCAGTGGATAAAGCTTTAGCTCCTCTGAGCTGAGACTGTTTGACTGGCTTTACTGGACTTAAGGACTCATCCATCCCTTTTTTCTTCTGCTCTTATTCCTGGTGGAGTCAACACCACACTGAAGATGGCCAGGGAGGCAGGCCACCCAAAGTCTAGGAAAAGAAGAAGAAATAAATTGTATCTGCAGTGAAATAATGTGTTGTGCATTGTTTTAGCAATTCAGGTGAAGCTGACTAGCCGAATGCATATGTAAACTTTAAATGAGTAACTCAGAGAAAAATCTTTAGTTCATAATTGCTAGTTTATTGTTTATTTAAAACTTTTTTTTTTTTTTTTACAATAACAGATTTTTTTCCCTTTATTTTTTAAATGAGTTGACTTTGACACATTAAAAAGGTGAATAACCAAGTTATAAATAAATAAGGAAGTGTTGAGTTAATTTTGGGTCAGATCTTTACCTTTTACTCTTTTGTTTAAAGGATTTATCATTGTTTAAAAGTAATAAAGATGGGTGGGGTGGGGGCGTTACAGAGCGACTTTAACTTTGTCTTTAGAGTTCAAACAGATCATTTTTATTCTGCATTGTCCACGCTGAACACAGAAAATCCCAGAGCCAAGTTACCAAGTGACCACATCAACAAGTTTTTATGAAATCAAACTAAAATATCTTGGTGTGAGAACACTAAACAAAAACTATGACAGGTATGCACATACAGTACAATTTATAAAGCTCGTTTGTAATATTCTCAGTTAAAACATAAATCGTTTAGCACAGAGATCCACACTGCTGCTAATGATCATTTTCATTCGTCATAAAGCAACAGATCAATTTGTCTATAAAATGCCGAAAGTAATCAAACAAAATTAAGCATCGTAGTTCCAACGTAATCAAACTAGCGTTTTTAGATCAAACACAAATGCCAAATAGACAGTTTACCACCCTGATTGCTTTTCCCCCAGGTCTGTTCCTGGAAATCCACCTCCTCTATCGCAGTTGGAGATTAATTTCGTTTTACAGTAAACCACAGGTTAGGGGTTGCAGACATTACTACTCATTGGGGCTTCCGTGTGTTTCAGTTTAGAGAAAAACAAACTTAAACACAACACCGAAAGCTAACACACACAGTTAGCTAAACTTCCGAGCAACAAATAAGGGAGGGGGATGCCATCACGCAGAGAAAATTGTGCGTTAAAATAGAATTAACTTAAAAAGCTTACCATTAAAGCTTAAATGTACCGTCTTACGTTATGGGAATGCTTCACGCTTACTTCCTGGGGTTGCTTTGCTCTGCAGAGTACGTTGTTAGCCCTCTCCGTAATGTTACTGAGGTTAGCTGCGATGCCCGGTCGTCCGCCTGAGCTAGCTACGGGAAATAAATAATACTGGTACTCACTTACTACACAGCAGCAAGTCATAAAAAACACAAAGGAGACGCTTAAACCGTTGCAACACAACAGAGCACGCACTGACTTACTTTCGAACTCTTAAGTTGATTCGAAATTATTGTTTAGCTATCTCCATGGTTCTGGTCTACATAATGTTTTCAAATCCCACGGCCCTGGTCAAAACAGCAAGCATTGACGCCATGTTAATACATTACCCCGCTGCATTGTGGGAGTGCCAGTGATGATGAAGAGGGGCGTGTTTCGTGCCGCGTTCATGTACTACCAGGAAGGTCCTTGCTTTGTATACAACACCTTGCTTTGTATACAACACC